GAGCACCCGCACCAAAAGATGCAATGGAACACTTAGAAAGTACTAGAGCCCTGGCCAGTTTGGCTCAGTGGATAGAGCATTGGCCCTTGGACTAAAGGGTCCCGGGTTTGATGCTGGTCAAGGGTCCATACCTCAGATGCAGGCTTGATCCCTGGCCCTGGTCAGGGAGGGTGCAGGAGGCAACCAATCAATGTGTCTCTCTCACATTGATGTTCTTCTTCCCCCCCACCACCCTCCCTTCCACTCTCTCTGAAAGTCAGTGGAAGAAATACCCTCAGTTGAAGATTAACCAAAAATAGATAGATAGATAGATAGATAGAGCGATAAAATATCTGATATGTGAAAATAAATTGTCAGTTGTGAAGATGCCAAATGTTAGACTTTAATTTGAACAGTAAGATTCATTTTGATGTTAAGAAATATAAAAATCTTTCTTAATCAGCTTTCAGCTGCAACAGACCGGATTTTTTCACTTCAAGAAGAGCAGCAACAATTAAGAGAACAAAATGAATTAATTCGTGAAAGAAGTGAGAAGAGTGTAGAGGTGAGAACCTGACCGGGCAGTTGGCATCTTTCTCACTCGGACGTGTCCATCACAACCTCAAGCTCATAGCGCCTCCTGCCACCGCCTCCTTTGTCCCACTCAGGCCAGGCGAACCACCTGGGTTCCCACGCACCCTGCTCCCTCCCTCTGGGCCTTCCGCACACGAAGTCCCTCTTCACTCCTCTTCAGCTCCCACTCCTGAGCTGGGTCCCTGTAATGCCATCCCTAGTGCCATCCCCAGCGCCCATCAGGGGGCTTGGGCCCTCCTCCATGTCCCCACAGCTCTTTGCGCTTCCCTCCTCTGTAGAATCTGTTGTTTGGTAGAGTTGCTGGCTTGCTCACTTGATCATTTGAAGGTAGAGATCATATATGATTCTTCTCAAAATTCATCCAGTGCTAAAAACATGCCCAATAAACACAGAATGGTGAGTTGAATGGGGCCTTCCCCACTAGGAATGATTGTTCTGTTTTAAAGAAAAGTAAATTTCGCCCTAGCTGGTGTGATTCAGTGGATAGAGCGTTGCCTGCAGACCAAAGGGTCTCAGGTTCAATTTTAGTCAAGGGCACGTACCTTGGTTGCAAGCTCTTCCCTGGCCCTGGCCCTAGTTGGGGCACATGCAGGAGGCAACCAATCGTTGTGTTTCTCTCACACGGATGTTTCTCTCTGTCTTTCCCTCTCCCACTCTCTCTAAAAAAATAACCAATAGAAACATATCCTCTGATGAGGATTAACAAAAAGAAAGAGAAGTAAATTTGTTTTCTGAACCTAAATTTTCTTTTTTAAAAATGTATTGACTTGCCCTCGCTGGTTTGTCTCAGTAGATAGAGCATCGGCCTTCAGGGTCCCAGGTTCGATTCCAGTCAAGGGCACATGCCTGGTTGCGGGCTCAATCCCCAGAGTGGGCGTGCAGGAGGCAGCTGATCAATGATTCTCATCATTGATGTTTCTTTCTCTCTCCCTCTCCATTCCTCTCTGAAATCAATCCTATATAATAAAGAGCAAATATGCAAATGGTCATCACACCCTTAGGTCGTCACACTCAGACACCTAACATTGGGGAGAAAGGATTGGGTACCAGCCAAGCACAAATGAGCTCGCGAGAAAGGAATGGGGACCAGCCAGGCTGTAGCCCAGGAAAGGGACAAGCTGCACACCCGGCAGTCCCAGGCGCCTGCAGCTGCAGCCTAGGTGAAACCACCCACCCACAGTCCCCTGGGGCTGCAGCCAGCCCAAGTGAAGCCGGCCTGGGTCCTGGGTGCCTGCCACCCGCCAGAGAAGGGAATCCTGGGTCCCGGGTGTGGGGTGAGGCAGAGGCAGTTAGGGGCAATCAGGCCAGCAGGGGAGCAGTTAGGGGCTATCAGGCCAGCAGGGGGGCAATTAGTGGCGATCAGGCAGGCAGAGGTGGTTGGGGCGATCAGGCAGGCAGGCAGAGCGGTTAGGAGCCAGCAGTCCTGCATTATGAGAGGCAGGTGAGGGGCGATCAGGCAGGTGAGAGGTTAGGAGCCAGTGGTCCCAGATTGCGAGAGACACTCGGACATCCCTCGAGGGGTCCCAGATTAAAGAGAGGGTGCAAGCCGGGCTTAGGAACCCCCCGCTTCACAAATTTCATGCACCGGGCCTCTAGTAAAAATATATTTAAAAAAAAATTTTTTTAATGTATTGATTTGTTTTCATACTCAAGTTTAAAGATACTTCAAAATAGCTTTAAAATTTTAACCTTTATTATACTTAAGAAATAGAAATTGTGCTACATTTTTTAAAATTATGGTGTATTTTTAAATACTTTGTAGTTGGCTTGCTTCCCATAAAACCTGTTCTTTCGGTACTCTTGGTGGATACAGATAACAAAACAGGACACAAAAGTTGAGCTGGAGACTTACAAGCAGACTCGGCAGGGTCTGGACAAAATGTACAGTGACGTGTGGAAGCAGCTGAAGGAGGAGAAGAAAGTCCATTTGGTGAGTGTGTGAGCCTGGTGTCTTCAGAAAGGTTCCCCAAAAGCTGTGCCAATGATTTCCTCGCACTTCCCACAGGCATGCTGACCCCGCGGGCACCCACAGACAGCCCACAGTCATCCCTTAAAAAAGAATAAAAGGTCATGTTTACCACTCAGGCCTGCACTGTCACATTTTTCCAATTTTACAAGCCTTTTTCAGGGATCGCTGTGAAATTGGATGTGTGGTCTCTGACCATACACTTCCCTCGGTCAGAGCCTTGGTCTCTTTATTTCCACCCCATCTGTGAGTCAGTAGCCTGTGTTTTTTATTTGTTACTAGAGGCCTGATGCATGAAGAGATTCGTGCAATAGGCCTTCCCTTCCCCTGGCTGCCGGCACCAGTTTTCTTCTGGCACCCGGGACCCAGGCCTTCGCTCCAGCCGGAGCCCTCAGTCTTCGCTCCACCGCTTTGTGCCTACATATGCAAATTAACCGCCATCTTTGTTGGGTTAATTTGCATACTCTCCTGATTGGCTGGTGAGCATAGTGGAGGGGTGGTCAATTTACATGTTTGTCTATTATCGGGTAAGGTTATTTTTTTTTATTGATTGATTTTTTTAGAGAGAGAGAGACATTGATTGGCTGTTCCACTTATTTATGCTGTCATTGGTTGATTCTTTTTCTTTTCTTTTTTTTAATATATTTTACTGATTTTTCACAGAGCAGAAGGGAGAGAGATAGAGAGTTAGAAACATCAATGAGAGAGGATCATCGATCAGCTGCCTCCTGCACACCTCCCACTGGGGATGTGCCCACAACCAAGGTACATGCCGTTGGCCAGAATCAAACCTGGGACCCTTCAGTCCACAGGCTGACACTCTATCCACTGAGCCAAACCAGCTGGTACATGCCGTTGGCCAGAATCGAACTTGGGACCCTTCAGTCCGCAGGCCGACACTCTACCCACCGAGCCAAACCGGTTAGGGCGTTTGGTTGATTCTTATATGTCCCCTGACCAGGGATCGAACCTGCAATCTTGGCATATTGAGACGATGCTCTAACTACTGAGCCACCCGGTCAGGGCCTCGTGTTTTTTATTAAGTACAGTTCTTGCACCTGCTTCTTTGCATGGATGTGGAGAACATGTGTCCTGAGTTACCCAGGACAGAACCATTTCAAAGTGGTTTCACCTTTGTTGCCATAAACCAGTAAATCATTCCAGAAGTTCTAACATTGCAGCATCAAATCGCTTTAGCTCTGAAATTCAAGACACATTCTTTCAGCCCATATATTCTGATCTTGCAATTTGAAGAACATGGTTGCAGGAACTCCAGGCTCATGTTGCCACCTACCAGCTTTCCATTGACTTGATGCAAAGCCATTTTTCATTGTAAAATAAGAAAGGGGGGAAAACATAATCTAGTTATACTCTAGACCAGTAGTTCTCAATCTTCCTAATGCCGCGACCCTTTAATACAGTTCCTCATGTTGTGGTGACCCCCAACCATAAAATTATTTTTGTTGCTACTTCATAACTGTAATTTTGCTACTGTTATGAATCGTCATGTAAATATCTGATATGCAGGATGTATTTTCATTGTTACAAATTGAACATAATTAAAGTATAGTGATTAATCACAAAAACAATATGTAATTATATATGTGTTTCCCGATGGTCTTAGGCGACCCCTGTGAAAGGGTCGTTTGACCCCCAAAGGGATTGCGACCCACAGGTTGAGAACCATTGCTCTAGACAGACTTTTCAAAAATCTCCCTAACCTCTTCTGGCTTTCAGCTTATCTATAATAATGAAAGTGTAATATGTTCATTAGACCGGACGTCCTTCTGGACAAAGCCGGGGCTGCAAGGGAAGCCCGGATCCCGGGTGCCGGAGGGAAGCCGGTGCCAGCAGCCAGGGGAAGGAAGGCCTACTCTTGCACAAATTTCGTGCATCGGGCCTCTAGTATTTTACATATTGCCCAAGACAGCCTCAGTTAAATTTATTTTTTTGTTCTACTTTAGTAACAGTTACCTTGTTCCTATCCTTTTAAGGAACTAGAAAAAGAACTGGAATTACAAATTGGGATGAAAACGGAAATGGAAATTGCAATGAAGTTACTAGAAAAGGACACCCATGAGAAGCAGGACACACTCGTCGCCCTCCGCCAGCAGCTGGAAGAAGTCAAAGCGATCAATTTGCAAATGTTCCACAAAGTTCAGGTGGGAGCTGGCTCTGTGTCCCCATCCCCGCCCGGGTTCCTGCTGCGCCTGCAGCGGGGACTGTGGCGTGCCGCCTCTCCGTTCTCTCGCGTCCGTCCTGCAGTGGGAGAGAATCGGCACCTCCGGGAGGTCCCAGTGTCCTGGGCCCTGTTACCTGCCACGGTATTTATTTTATTTGAGTCTCCCAGCAAACCCCTAGAAAAGTTTACGAAATGGGGAAAGCGTCAGTGACAAGACAGAACCGAGCCACGTGCCCTGGTGGCACAGCTGTGCCTGTGGCCCCTCACTGTCTCCCTGCTGCCCGTTCCTCCATTTCAGAGGGCGATTGCTTGAGAAGTGGTTGAGGATAGAAGTTGGTATTGTCTTTTCAAGGTTTGCCAAGTCTGCGGGCCCTGCTGCTCGCCTCGCCTGTCATTTCAGAGTGGTGAAGGGAGCCCGCCCACAAAGAATCCATCGGGCCAGGGTCTGGAAGCCACCATTCTGTGTCCTTCTCAAAACTTTGCTTTTTGAAGTTCTGTTTTCCATTTTATTATCACAACAGTCCCACTCCACCTCCTTGTCCGTGGGTGTGGTTTCAGCTTCACTGTCAAAGACAGTGTGAGAGCAGACAGTACAAATAAACTGTCCTTTTGTCCTGTCTTTTTAAAACGATCACCTCATCATCATAACAGCAATAGTGAAAATCGAAGCAAAAAGAGAAAAGAAAAAAAAACAGTTTCACCTTCCTAACAAATTACCTATTTCAATGTTTTCATGTTTTTATCTGGTTTGAATGAGTAAGCAGACATAATGTGACGTGTATTTTAGAGGAAACGAAACCACTGTAAAAACTTGGCAGACCCTAAAGTGGAGTGACTTGAAAATACGGACGTTTGTATCTTAGTTACTCAGAGTCATTTCCAAGGAGAGCATTTCAGACCCGCTTTGTTCCGCAGTCACTCAGGGACCAGGCCAACGGCGGCCCCAGCTCTCGGGCCGCTCTGGATGTCACCGTTCTTGCCGGTGGAAGGTGGGGAGAAAAGCTGGTCAGCACCGGGGTCCTTCTCTCCAGCTGGAGGCATGAGCGGCAGCCACCCTTCCATCGAGTCCATGGAGAAGGGCCGCTCAGCATGGCTGCTCGGTGGCAGGAGCGCCTGTGACTGTCCTTAGCTACACGTCATAGGAAGTAGAGGATACGTGTTTGGCAGACACAGTTGTTCCTGCCACACAGGCCATCCGGTCCTTGCATCCTCAAGTCCGCAGCCCCTGGGCGGTGGCAGCACTCCATCGAGTTGCACGCCTGCACCAGAAGACCCGCTGTCTTTCTCACATTAACCGTCCCTCCCAGCATCCAGGGCAGAGCAGGAAGATAACCAGGAGGAAGGCCTGTCTGGAAGGGGAAACGGGAAGTGGCCGGTGGCAGTCATACATGTTCTGGGTAGCAATTGCGAAGGATGCCCGGGGGCAGGGGCACCATTTCTTAGCATGTCTGCTACCCCGCTCTGCCTTCTGAAGAATTGGTCAGCCTCCCTCCATGGCTCCTGAGAAGTCCACCGTCTGTGGCTCTTGGGGAACATGGCCTCCCTGGCGACTACACAGCTTTCCTGGCCAGCTGCGTGAGGTCTCAGTGTGCCGGCCTGGAGGTTGTACTGGGGATCAGTTACAGATACTGTTCAGGCCTGACTCATGTCGCTGATAATGCAGTGCCCTCAGTCATGGCCTCGGATCTGTTTATTTCCACTCAGCCCGTGTCAGTGGCCAGTGTGTTGTTTTATTTATTAAACACGTTCTTGTGGCTGCTTCGTGTCTTTGATCGCTCTCTCTCTCTCTCTCTCTCTTTCTCATTAGTGGCCAGTCGCCTGAAACAGCTGATTGAGCTGTGAAGAAATGCCCCTATCCTGACCTTTCCTGCAGAACGCCCCAGGGCCTCTGCTGCTTAGTCTTCCGTCTTCTCTGACTTAGGTCAGGGTCGGAGCAGCTGCTTTTCTAACCCGCGAGGCCCCAACATTTGGCCCCTCTGTTTCTACCCTCTCTCTGCAAACTCAGACCTGCCTCACACACCAGCATCCCTGCTCTTTAAACCACGTCCCCTGCAGCCACCGCATGGCTGGCAGGGATTCGCGTTCCAAGCTTGGGCAAGTGGCAGCTATAACCGTTTTCCATAACTAACAAGGGTCACCAGCTTTCCAGCTGTGATGCCTGTTGGACAGTGCCAAGCCCCTGCCTGCTGGGTCAGTGCTGCAGCACCAGGCCCCATGTCTCTGGTGGCCTGTTTCCACTTCTACCCTTACCCTCTGGCTGCAAGTACCAGAGTCCACCATTTCCCTCCGTTTGAGACACACTGTAATCAGACACCTCTCTGATGGTCTTCGTTCCTTTTATAACTCCCTCCCCTACTCCCATCCTCTTTCCTCTGTGCTAACATTCTAAATGTTTACTTTTTGGCTCTAACCGGTTTGGCTCAGTGGATAAAGCAT